AGGCAAACTGAATGAGTTGGCATTTCAGGTGGATAAAGACAAAGCATGATGCTTTAATTTTTTAAGGGAAAAGAAACTAGTTATAGCTCATAGAATGAAATATATCATTGTTGCACTCCAACAATTTGTAAGGCAATTCTACCCAAATGCCCCAAATTGTCAAGAGTTCAAAAAGCAATTCTAGTACTTTCGGTCTTAATAAAATTGACCTGCCATGTTGGAGGTTGAGGCAAAAGGAAAATAAGCAATACCAATATGACCTTTATTTTAAATTATGATATTTTGTTTATCATGGTTTTTTTTTTTTTTGCATTCATTTTATTTTTTTTAAACTGCATTCAAACATTAACTAGAGGATTTTTTTGGCACACCCTAATATTTACACTCCAAGTGAGTGCCCACTCAATTTAGCCTTGGCTCTGCTTAATAAATCACCTCTCTGAACTTCAATTACCTCATCTGTAAAACTGAAGTAATTAATAATAATTGAAAGGATTACTGTGAGGACTGAATGAGATTGCATGTGTAAGTACTTGTTCACTGTAAATGTTTATGTATAAATACACTTACAATGCTTTATGTAACTCTGAGACAAAGTTATTATATTAAACAGTATATTTAAAAATGTAAGGTTTATAGGCATTGTAAAGTCCCATGATTGATAACAGAAATTGAAATAGAGGCCTTAGAATGGTATTCAGAATTTGACACACTCATCCCTACCAAACCTTATTTAAAAAAAAAAAGTTAGACAATTGCAGCCAAGCAATCCATTTTCTTTCCAGGTTTCATAATTAATCTTCATTTGTAAATTCAATTTGTCCTCAGATTTTCTCTTTACAGTTTCTAAAACATTCAATTCACTAAAAATGAGAAATTAATTTAGGAAGAAAGTCTTTAATGTTTTCTTAAAAAACATTTAAAAAAATTACAACTCAACACAGGCGAACACCTATAGATATGAAAATTGTTTTTGAAAAAGTTGAGGATGTTAATCTTTTGATTCAAAGCAGGTGGATCCTTCTAGGCCGAAGGAAGGTGAGATGCCTCCTGTTCTCGTGAGCTAATGATTGTTCCCAAGCTGGTTAGAATGCAGTGCTAATTGCATTTTAAAACACCACCTCTGAAATCCTCTCCCCTCTCAGGATCTTACATCAATGTTTCGCATTTTCAATAAAACCTTTGCACTTCACCTTTCTCACTCAACAAATCCTGAACTGTAGGTGCGCAGGAAGAATTCAGTTCAGATCCTTCCCCTCCCCAGCAGGCTTTCATCTGGTGGTAGGGATGCTTATGCTCAGGAAAGGCTGTCCTGCCCTGTTTCTGAGGGGACAGAGACAACTGAAGTCAGTACTTTGGTGGCTCAACTCAGGCTGGTTCATTTTAACAGAGAGTCATTAAACAACTTTCTAGTGTCATTCAAAGAACTTATAACAGAATCAATTGATTTTCATCCTATGCTTTATTAGTTGTGATTTAGGAGAGAGAATGGCCCTGTTTACACAGCTGTAACATGTCAGGACCTGTAGTACATTATTGGCTTGAGGCCTCCAAGTTGCAGTCCATTCTCAGCAGAATCAATCTGAACTTGAAAACATTCCCTCTAGGAAACATGCACATATCTACTAGTATAAAGCACTTCTTATACAACTGAAAATAGTATTCACTTGAGTTAAGTCGCAAGTTCTCCTTCCAAAAATTGGCCCTGACTTGTCATCGCTCCCAGCATGTTCTCAGTGGGAACGGAGGGCCACAGATGTATCTTAGCTCTCGGTACCCAACATTGGTGCATGAGCCACATTCTGCTGCTAGTCAGACCTCAGACTCTGCAAGTGGGAGTCGCTGGCTGCTTAACATGCATTCAGAGCATTGCCAATCTAAAATGGCTGCTCAGTAATACTTTAATTGCAGTTTCATGGAAACAAATTGCTATTTAACTGCAATAAGCATTTCTGTGACTTGGCTGGACTGACAATAGGTGAGTTTTAGTAACAAAGCCACAAGTAACATTAACTTGTAAATGGTCTGTGTTTCCAATGGCTCTCAAACTAAGTGGGTGGGGGGAGCAACCAGGATTGAACTCTCCAGGGAAGGAGTCTCTGAAACACCGCCTTATAATTTAAATACAATTATTTAGGCTATATGGGAACTGTCGATACATAGCTCTTGGATTCACTGTTTATTATATAATTTATTGACTTTAAGAAATATTTTATATAAATAGTATTGCACATTAGAATCTTACTGTATTGACATTTGAAGCCATTTAATTTAAGAGCTTCATTTTAGATGATTAGTTGTTTCAAATATCAGTGCTAATAAGGGCAAAAGAAAAAGAATTTAAATATAGTTAATATTAAGAGGATGACAATTTCACAGGCTTCATTTTGGTGTGACAGTTTTCTCATTTTGTATTTTATAAGACACTACAGTCCGTGTTAAACTATTTCCTAATAAATCATGAAGAGCTGGAAATAGTTTCTGTGGCAAACGATTTGGTTTGGAAAGGCTTCAGGCTCCCCTGCTTTGCAGAATGTGTAAATCTAACTAGACAGATAGGTTAAAAAAAAAAAAAAAAACATTAAACCCTTTTAGAGGACAATCTTTTTACAAAATTGTTTCATTAGCAAGAGTGACAATTTGCATGATTGAGACATTTATATGTATCATAAACATAATTTTTTATCAGGAGTTCAGCAAGGCTCAGTAGCATTTGCTTTTATTTTGTAATTGCACTTGCTTATAGGGACTGGGACCATCTTGCTCCATGATGTGGTTAATATTAAGTCCTTTCAGAAGAGTGGTGTACACCTCACTAATAACATCACAAATGCAATGGATGAAAGGTGGGTAAGCTCCTGGATTTTTTTTTCTTTTTCCTAAGCTATGCTGGGGTTGGGGAAGGAAGTACAATCACTGCTCACATCAGAATAAACCTGAGTGTTTTTAGTAGCTTTCTATCCACACAGAGCATCCCCATTAGAGACGGGTTTTATTGTTTGAAATGCCTCTGGTTTCAAGAAAGTGTTTTACCTAAAGCAAGACTACTACTTAAATATGTTCTATTGTATATTCATAGCTCCATTAGTCCTTCTCCAATTTAGCACATCAAAGAGAAGGCTTCATCACTTGCATGTGGATTATACTAACATGAGTGACATTTGTAATCTTATAGGTCTGCAACTTAAGAAATGCTTTTAGAAGCTCGTTATTAAATACGCAGCAGTGCTTCAGGAACCAGCCATATAATAGTTCATTTAAAATCTGTAACGACCTTCGCCCTTCATATCACTAAATGCCACACTGTATTACCTATTAAAGTTATTAACCACCTCCTTTGAATTTCTACACTATATGGGACACGAGTGCTTATGCCAAAAAGAATATAGAAGATGCTTGCAATCTTAACACATTTCTCCCTTTACCACTGGAAGAGTCCAAGTTGCTTCAGAAAGCATTGTAAAGAAAAAAAGACATATAACCAGATCAAGTTTGGAGAAATTCCCCAAAGGGTGTAAGTTAAACAGATATTGTTATGCATGTAATTTTTTTCCCCCTGCATTTTCTTTTTATAAAGCTCTGACATAACAATTCACTTTAACTCTCTGCTTTTAAACTCTCCTACAGGAGGTTTATAGGAGGCTTGCAGTTTGAGCAACTAATTTTTCCTCCATCCTGGAACTCTCTGAAAGCAGGAAGTGAGCACAGAAGTTCTCAAAGGAAAGGAAAACGGATGGTTTAGCTGAGGTGTGCGGAGCTAGACATCTCCATTCTATCTACTCCTAGTATCAGATGGTTTGGATGAGGGTTTTTTCTAGAGCAAAATAAAATGCCATTTTTGTAAAAAGGAAAGTAGACATATAAACACACCTGGTTGTATTAGCCTGTGCAGAAGCTGTAGTTGAGATTTGCTTACATGCAATGAGCCTGGTGGTGCAGGGCCGGTGGGTACCCAGACCTCTTTGGTTTTTCCTTATTCCATGACCAGGAGGCTGAGTCCTGGACCCCTCAGGGCACATCTCAGCTGCTGTAGAGACTCTATGGCCCGGCCCAGCCCAGCCACTGTCTCAAGACTACCACTAAATGAAATTAGAATCCTCGCCCAACAAACATATGGAAAGGCAGAGTCGGTGGAGGAGTGTAAGAGTAAAACAAAATAAACAACTCTCACTCACAGCAGACCACAGGAGTCTAAAAGCTCACCAGGAAACGGCTGCTTTCCCCATCGATGATCCTACACAAGAGTTGTAGGGCCCTAAGCTAATGGAACATCAAATACACATAGGTGTGGTTTAGAAATGCTGTTTTAATTTAGGATTTTTTTAATGTTGAGTGGTCTTTGCATTACTGGGATCAATCTGTTTATTCCTGCTGTATTATTTTAATGCTATGTGAACTTTGCATCATATTCACAAACAAAATGGGCATATAATTTTATTTTCTTCATTTTTTTCTGGCTCTGAAATCAGAATTAAACTAATCTTGCAACATGAGTTGAGAAAGTCCTCCCTTCTCTCTACCCCCATTTTCTGGTTACTGGCACAACTTGTATACAATAAAAGTATTTTGAAAGCTTAAAAAAAAAAAAAAAGCTATAAAACTAAATACAGAACAAGATGGTTGTGCCATATACTTTAACATGCCTTTTGTCAGCACCCAAGGTTTTCCTAGTGAGAAAAAAGAATCAACAAAATAGCTGAAGAATCCAACAAGTATTTATGTGTAAACACAAGACTCATTGTGATATAGAAGTGTAATGAAGTGCGGTAACAGAATATTCTGAACTTATAAAAAGGACTCTGTTAGAAACATTGCTTTGCACCCCTGCCAAAAATGACACAGATAAGTAATTTTAAAAATGCCTTTTTGGCCCAGAGCTAAATATATATATATCACCTCCCTCACCCCTCAAATTTAAAGTTTTTCATACAACAAATAAAACTAATTTTTTTCCAAAATACAAAAGAAAAAAGCAGTGTTTAAACCCAAACTCCATTGAATATTTTTTTCTTTTAAGTTTTTATTATTTAAATACACCATACTAGAGCAAATGTCTCTGAAAATATCACAAATAAAAGATTTTTTTTCTTCATTCAGCAAATTAGAAGTAAGGGGAAATTTCTACACAGTAGCTGCTATGAGCCTGATTTTTTTTTCCAATTTTTTTTCCTTTTTCATTCTTTTTTTTTTTTTTTTAAATCTTTGCCATGGGAGTAGCAACATTAGGACAAAAACACTTACATGCATACATACATTGTATTTTACAGAGATACAATAAAAGTGTTTGTGATAGAATTATCACAAAAGCCACATCTCTTTCCTTATCTCATGTTCAGTTTTGATTGAAACACGTTTCCTTACAACACTTAAATATACAAAGAGCAAATAGAATGTTGTTAAGGTAAAACACAGGGTACAAACTCTGGCCAGTGCCCTGCTAATTGTTAATGAGGGTAGAAAGCAGATTTGAATGCTTCTTTTAATTAGCTTCATTAGTCATTTCCCTCCCCCCAAGCTCCCCCCCCCCCCCAAAGATCCCCTGCGGTGGATCTTTTTTCATTTTCTCTACAGTCTCCCATTAGCCCAGGTTCATGGAGTCCTTAATGTTCATATTCAGTCATTTTAATACACCAATAAATGCGGGAAGGGCAATCAAGACTAAAGAAGGTGCAATGGCATGGAGCTGGCACTGGTGCTAGCTACAAAGGTGACTTGTCTACTGAAGACACATGGGATCCACCTGTGATGAACAAAATCTGAGATGAAGGCACGCATTCTGCATTACTCTGACCTTTTAGCAGACCTGCAAGAAATAAAAACGGGCATCTTAGCTAAAATGCTAAATTTGAGAGATATTAAACTCAAACACGACTGCTTTTGTCTTTTCTACATTCACTAATCTTTTTTTATTAGATTACTTTCCAACTGTGACTTGATAGAGCCTTTCTATACTACTTACTCCGGCAGTGAAGAACTAAAGCATAACATTTTCTGCAGTTTTACTAGCAGAGAAAATGAGACAGTCAATGGACTTTGAGAAAGTTTTTGGTGTACAGTTCTACAATGAATTACTTAAACTCTGTTAAAGCAAATTTCTCTCCAAAAAGAATTTATTACCTAGTCCTGGAATCTTGGGGCTTTTTTAATCATGAGGACATTCAGAGCCAAGTCCCTACACAGAAAGTTTTGGGTTAACATGCTCACTTGTTGCAAGTACTGAGACTGTGTGTGTCTCTCAGTTTCCTCATCTTTAAATGAAAGCTGAATAAACATTGGCAGTATCATTATTATTCTGTTACCTCCTCGTGACATACTAGCCTTTACCTACAGAGGTGTACGAGTGTGAGTGTATATATGTGTGTGTGAAAAGTTATATGTCCCAATAGTCAGGTATTATTTTTCATTTAATATTTCCATTCTGCTCTGTCACTTAATGTTACATTAATATTGTAAATATGTGAATCAATATATGTAATATCTTAATGATGCATGAGAAATTAAAGAATATAGTTCCACGCAAGTCTAACTTCAACATCTGAAGTTAGAAATGGCAATCCATAGTCGTCAAATACAATCTGCTTGCAATTATGAAAATGAAATAATATATATAAGGTTTTTATGGTTTTTAAATGACATTTTGAGCTTCTCAGGAAGTTCTCGTTTCACCCTTTCCCTAACTTACTAAAAGCCTGAAGTCTATTAGGAACTGCAACCCCCCACTTCCAAGCTAATTAAAGTGGTGGAGGCTTAATTCCCCAGAGTGGAAGCTCAGTGTGAGAAAGGTAATTTGTCTGTCCAGAACAAAGATGCGGCAGCAGCCAGCAAGCATATTTAATAAATGAGCATCAAATGTCCTCTACGATGGACACACACAACACCAATTATGTAACTATGGAGGAACAGTGAAGTGATATGTAAACTAGAAGGCTCACTAAATTTTCCTCTGACTAAAGAGACATGATCTAACTCTTATTTTACTGAAAAGCACAGATAATTCTAGGTGGCCCAGTTACACTTTTGAATGGACGAAAAAATTCCAGAGCAGGCAGCAATTTACTAAAGAAAACATTAGCCACAATTCCTGATTTTCATAACATTCTAGAAAGCAACATGCTTCTGAGGTAACCAAGTGCCCTTTAAATGATACAGGCTATAAAATTTTGTAGATCCTCAAATACTAGTGGTCTCACATTTCAGTCTGAAATCTGAGATTTCGATCATTACATGATTGAAAAGCCTAATTTTTTTTTCCTCAGAATATACAAAAGCCAATGATGCAGAACAACAACTAAACTATATATACTTGCAAAGCTAGAAACAAATTTCAGGAGAATAAAAGTTTGAAGGAACAATTTGATGGGGGCTTTCCATACAATTAACTGCCTTTAAAAAAGGGATGTACTAATAATCAACTCATTATTCTTAAGCCAGAGGATGCTTGAGTATATTTACTATGCTATCGAGCACTAAAAATATAATTGATTCTGAGAACAGAAGGAAAACCACCAAAATAAAAACCAATTTTCCCTACCCCAAATATGGAGAACAAGAGAAAAGAAAATAATAAAATGGAGCTATTTGTCATTTCTTCCCATCTCATCTCCTCCAGAAAGGAAACGCCACAGGGTTTTGAGAAAATAATTTTAAAGCATTCTCCAGGTCCAAAAATCAGTTTATGTTCCACCAGGAAGTGTGTTTTCATTAACTCTTCCCTCTTGCCCTCTCATTAATATCTCTCTGGACCATGTTCAGCTTGCCCAAAACCTTTATTTACAAAAACTACCTTGTGAATTGACTGTGCTCATGGTGAGCGGAGCACCAAGGGCAAAAATGTGAGACATTTATGTCAACAGGGAAATGTTCTTAATTAACATCACCCCCAAAACACAGCTTCTCACCAATGTCTGACAAGAACATTTCCTTAAGTTATATTTCCTTATGCCTTTTAAGAGCTATTAAATTTTGAAAGCCACCTGTCTCTCTTTTTTTTTGGCTTCCAACATTAAAAAAATATATATACTAGCAGGCCCTTATTCATTGCTTAAACTATATTTTGTGTCCCAAAATGAACAGTCTACCTCTCCCATCCTGAGAGAGGAATAGAAAGCAGAAGATTCCTATGAACAATACACATAATCTTGTAAACACGTAAGCCAGATTTTTCTCTAGTTTCCCTTCCTAGCCCCTCTAAATTTACATCATCTTGTACTCAATAAGATGGCACTGCAACCCTGCTCGTATTTCTTGGGTGTCCTTGGCACTCAGTCCCTAGCTAATATTGCTATTGCCTACATTCAGTGCTTCATAATCGGCTTCATTTTCTATTTCACCTCTCCATCCTTCAATTCTCACCATGCATGTTGGTGAGCTATAACAATCATTTTTTATACTTCACTAAGTCACGAAAGAAATGGTATAAAACCAGCAAGATAACAAGTTAGAGACAACTTGGAGGGGGATTAGGCTTTTCCATTAAAAAGGAGGGGAGTAGAGAAGAGATCCACCATTTTATTCCTAACACTTTTGTCGGTTTTTGTTACCAAGTGTAACTACAAATAGCTTTGCTTCTATTTCAAAATTAGTATCTCAAAGTATTTGTTATCCATTCACTGTTCCTGACTCTGTCCTGTATTTTCACTTCTTTCAAATTCAAACCATAAAAATCTGTAAGTATTCATACGTATGAGCGCTCCTTAAAGAAACTTTAATACCCCATCAGAGGTGACTGGTTAATTTGCAATAAAAAATAAGATTTTTTATTTTTAAAATGGCTATTCTATGTAGCTTCTCATATTAGTAAATTAAACAAATAAAGCTACACATAATTTCATATGATTAACACTAAATAAAGAATACATTAAAAATTACCCCATAAACTTGAGCAAGGGAAAAAGATAAATACGAGCATTCAATATAGCAGTGTAATTTTAAATGGCTAAGTTTTCAATATTTGTCATTTTCCCCACACAGAGCATTAAGAAAATGCATTACAGACGACAAAGAAGCCTAATATTTTTCCCAGGACTTTTGAAGCTTGCTTAAATTCCTATTTGCAGACAAATGTTGTTTTTTTGTGATCCTTACAACAGACATTAATGAAGTTCCTATTGTAAATCCATAAAGAATTACCAAGTGAAGTGTGCACTTTTTGTTTCAATGCAATAACTCAGTGCTGTGTGATTGCCTGGGTTAATGATGAAAAAGTCAAACATACTATCAGAGCTGATGGAAAAATCTATCACCAATCTGAAATTAAAATTCATCTGTGGTCAATAAGATTTAATATCCATGCAAGTGGCGCTGTAAAGAGTAAATGAATCAATGTCATCAATACATAATCAGTATGAAATATGATGTGAATAAAATTATGCACACGAGTCATACATTTCACTCTTTTCTGGGCCAGTGTGGAATGAACAGTCTCTTAACTGAAGGTTGACAGTAATTGTTACAAATTAGGCACAGCAGTTATCAAAATGCACTCACTTGCATAGCTATAGGACTTATTAAGGAGATTAAAATAGATCTAAAACTATCCAGTACTAGGGATACTGGACAACTGTTGATCACCAATTTTCCTTCTGAAGCATCTTCTAATGCTACATGATTTGAATATTTGTATAATTTTCTCATTTCTTACTCCAGTCTATGAGCTTGCAAGTTGAGGATCAAGAATCAAGATACATAATCTTTAATGGAACTATTAGTGGCACAGAGTGGTCAGCAAGAGCAAGAACTTTGTTTTAAAAGTCATAACTTATTCAAATTTTAAGGAACGACCAATCAACAGAAATGCGTTCCTCTGGAATTATTGAAATGTTCTGTAAAACTGCTCTTCTAAAAATAAATACACCACAAATTGGGTTTGAAAGGCCAGTGTCCAGATTGCTATTACTAATGTAGAAATCATTCTTTTATGACAAAGACCTTTCTTCTCTTTTCCTACCACAGATGTCCAAATTTTCCTCCCGCAAAAACTTATCAATTGTTTTTCAATTTCAAAATTCTCAAAAGGAATAAACAACTGGTTATATGGAAGTTGTATGTTTTGTTTGATATCGCATGCAATATAATCTATGTTCAACAGGGGCGAAACTACAGATAAAACCCAGTCAAGATTTTTTTTTTGGAAATTGTGAAGGATTCACAATTTGATTGGCTATCCTATATCTATTCACTACATATAATAGCACGAATAGAAAGTCTGCATTTCTTTAAAAGAGCACACCAAAACACAACCCCCAGGAACACTGCTTGGCTAGGTTAAGAGGCTGAACCTTCCAACCTGCTCTAATAAAGCTTATTAGTAATTGCTGGGTATTCACCTTCTGGTCTGGCAGTAGTGGATTGCTCTGAAGTGAATTCAAATGGCCATTGATGAGAGCTGTAGGTCTATCATGTTCACAAAATAAACTGCCATTGATGTAGTGAAACCGATCTCCCGGGACCAGGCGATTCCGGCAGGTAGAGCATGTAAAACACTGAAAGGGAAAACAAACCCGCTGAAAACAAGTACAAATTAAGTCTCTTTTTTGGTCACAAGTTTACAACCTGTTTTTAAGCAGGTATCTGTCAGGTACAGAGCTACTTAGGCTTTCATGTTTTTCTTCCTTTGACATGATTCCAGAAAATAGTAAGGCAAAACACAATAAAGTGGATCAGGCTAAGGGGGAAAGGGACACATACATGTGCTTATGCCCTGCGTGGGAGTGTGGTGTGTGTGGCATGTGCACCCTCATTGCCTTGCTGCAGTGTCAATCATTCCTTTCAGTGTCTGCAGCTTGAGAAAACAGAGTTCATACTAAGGAGAAATGCTTTGTCCCCATGTAGAAAAGGTATGAGTTTTTAAAAAGAGAAGTGCATATGCTACCTTAAGATGATACACATTGCCTTGCGCCCTCATGACGAGCTCACTCGCAGGAATTGACTGTCCGCAAGCGCTGCAAGCACCGCTATTCCCAAATAACCTGAAACAAAAATGATGGTTGACACCAAGGAATAATCCCAAACCAAAGAAAAGCAAGCAACCCACCCCCCCCGCCCCCACACACCCCTTTGGAATGTATTTGACAGAGGCTGAATTCTTAAGCTCAGGTCTCTCATTTTCTGAGTGGTTTACATATTCTGGGAAAAACCCTTATGGGGGAAAACTAACTTCTGCCTACCACAGAGGAAGAGTATGCCTCAGATTTAATCAAAATATTGACTTACACCTCTAGCAAATACAAAACAATTCTGTTCTACACACATTTTATCAGATTACTGGGTTCGTCATAAAAAAAAGAAGTCAATTCATGACTAGAGTTTAAATGCATTGTGTCCTTGAAATTATATGAAGAACTCTTTTGTACTTTAATCATATCTTGAGATATGAGTCATCAAAAGGGTTAAGAGGATTTGATTGTATATCTAAGAAGACATCATGCTCAGTGTATTGAAACTCCCGTAAACCTCCATCAGGGCAGACTTTCCATTAGAAACTCTCTGCTATCCAGGTTGATATATAATGTGTATGGGTTAACCTTTTCAATCATGGTGTCAACACTTAAGATTTGCCTCTGCTCATCTCTTTCATCCTAACCTTCTCTCTCTCTTGATAATGAAATGCTTGCTCCAACTTCCCTCTATCTGCTCCTGAGTCCACAATTTAGATTACTTCATCTCTGCTAGCAACAAACTGAATGAAATTTCGATTTGAGCAGAAAGTAATTTACCGGGATCTGGACCCATTTGTCATCATATCTCTCTGGGTGTTTGCTGTATCACTGCAGTTTTCCTATGCAATCAAATGAGACCACAACATCTGCCATGGGGGGAGGAGGGGGAGAAGGAAAAGGCTGCAGAGGAGGGGAAGGCTCAAGGAAGTGTGGTGTACTAAAGAAAAACATATACATAATTTCCTACATCCTTCCATACACACAACAAAATATTTTAATGACTACCGAACTTTGGCTTTTATGGAATGTATAGGCCAAACTGGGAAGCTTTATTTATTTGCTTTTGGGCTTCTCTCTTAAATATCCACAAATATTAAACAGACCAATGACTTCACACTGGAAGGTGGTATCAGAACCAGTAAGCAGGGTCAGAGAGGCACTTTCAACAGTGACAAACAAAGTAATAGTACTTACAAATTAACACATTGGTGTCATAATAAATATTAATATTTGCATTTCCTTCTTGTCCAAATAAAGTCATAAAATGCAGTTTATGTCAAACCAGGAGACATGTTCCTATAGAACACCCCGTAATCTGAATGATCGCGGCATGCCTCTATATAAAAATAATTGCTTTGAGTTTTCAGAATCTGGTCTTGCAGAAGAGGCTTGTCATGTTCAAACTACTAATTTGCTGTCGCCACTTTATTGAAAATAGCCTGTAAGTTGTTATTAAATGTATCGACTGAACGACAGGGAGAGTAGTAAAACTGCCCCTTAAGATGGCTTTTAATAGGAAGCCCGAGAAACAAATTTTGCAGCAGCATCGATTTGAAGAGTTCAATCAAAACTCCATTTCAAAACTAATTAGTCTGAGATCCACGACACATTGACACGTTCTTGCAGAATCAGAACAGTTACAGAAAGAAAGCTGAAATAATACACTGTCAGGACCTCTAGCCGCAGGACTGCACCATGCGGGAGCTCGGGGGCCTGTGGGCTGCCGTCTTCTGTTGCTGGACCACTTCAGGAACATTGATGAGGGCCTCCTGGTGTCTCACCTATAGCACAGGGGCCACCACAGGGGAGTTCTCCAAAGGGCAGGGTGGCCAGAGAATTAGCATGGCCATGAAGAAAAGGTTTATGAACACTATCAGCGCAATTCCAATCCCTAAGAGGGACACTAAATTCAAGCCCAGGTAAAAAAATAATAATAATAAAAATAAAAATAAAGTGAAAAACCTGTCAATGTGGCCAAAAACATGCTGAGGGTAAGTAGAGAAGGAGACTGGGAGGGGGGCAGAATCCCACCATAGCTAAGGACCAAATATCCTCTTACAGCAACCCAGAAGTCTTTTAATGGATTAGAGTCTATAATTATGGCTGCCACTACCAACAGGTACACTGTGACACTTCGTCTCAAAAATACCCTTTCACAGTACCGATCTGATTACCCAGCCTAAGTGTTCATTTATTTAACAATTCCCCCTGAGTAAAGTCAGTTGTATGTCTTCAACATCTAAGTGTATTTTAATAATCAGGGCAGTCATATATAATCCAAAAGCTTTTCACATATCTTTATTTTCTCCAGTGCTGCTTTCATAACCTGTCAGAGAACAATTGGACACAAAATAGTGGGATTCCTAAAGTGTCAAAATTACAAAGTTTGAAAATGACCAAGATCTACCCAGGGCTGATGAGCTACTGAACAACATATTAATGGAATTTAAGATCTTTCCATGTCTACAGCTTTCAGGGTGCCTTAGAACAGAACTTATATGTCTATGCACATTCTAATCCTCTTTTACCAGAGACGAAGGCGACCATTAAAATTCTACCCCTTTCCTGAAAAGTTGGTTTTCTACAACGTTTCTGCATGCTGCAGAGTTAATTATCTAACCAGGGGGACTGTCCAGGACAGTGTTTGATTTAAAAGGCTCGAGGCTTTAGGTGCTCAATTAAGTAGCTATCGGTCTCAGACTGGACTATAATGGGCTCTTTTCTCTTTAACTCAAGCAAAGGGGAGATATACCCCAGGTCAGGCTAATTAAAGCCAGGGGAGTCTTTAATTGTGATGACAGAATCGGTTTCAGTTTCCTTTCTTTGGGTCCTCAGTCCAAGAAGGTCGTTAATATTTCAGCATTTGGGCAATGCAATCAATCACAAACATCAAGAGGTTCCTTATATGGGGAAAAGGAAAAGATGGGAAGAAATCCCAACAAACCTTTGCACTTTAAAGGTGCTTTGCTCCTGTTTGAAGAGCATGTCCTGTTTGCCCACCCAGCTCTAACTCTACTTGCTGACATTAAAAGATGGAGAGCAAGTCATATTTTTAGTTTAGTATCAATGCTTAGCATCTTTCAGTAACTTCAATGACCAATAGGTGGGCTTATTTTCAACTGCATTATTACTTCAAGCAAAATACACACAATATGGAGTGCTACCTGGCTGTGTTTTCAAAACTGCTTTCAGGCAAAGAGAGGTGCGTTTCTAAGAGTGTGGCTGAAAGGTATACATTTGTACCTGCAAGTAAATATCAGCAACCTATCTGAGGAGAAAAATGCACATCCACAGCTACTGATCCAGAAGCAATTGGTTTTCCAGCAGGATCCTATATTTAATCTAAATTCTGCACCAGCTATATTAAATGTAACAAAGAAATGCAACCCAGAAATTATGCCTGGAGCCAAGTCCATTAAAGGTACTTCGGAATAACTAGAGACCAAGCACCTTAAAAGCACCAGAAGCTATTGATACTTAAGAGGGGGGCTGTGCATAATCGCAACTGCTGCATTAGAGAGGGGAGGGAGAAAAAAAAATCAGCCAAATTACGCTTGGTTAATTCAGAGTAACAGATCTGCCCCCAAGTGAATTGGAGGCCTTGAATTAATTCTGTTATGACAAATCAAGATAAACGTTCCCCCTAAATTGCATGCGATTTAATTAATTTTTGAGATCCTGGGTTTTTTTTTTTTTTTCTTCCTAGCTAATAGTTCACATGCTCCTGTGCTGTCATTGTGCTTGAGTGGGCAGACTTCAAAGTGATATTAAATAACCAACTATTAGATTTACCTAGCACGTCCTATTGGAAAAGTGCCATTTAATTACCTAGCCTGTTCAATTAAAGGGACAGCATTCTCTGAATATAGCAGCTTGCTGTTGATTACCAGGGAAATGAACTCGCTGCCTGGCGGCGCCTCCATTCCTGACGCTACCCCCTCCCCAAACACACCATCCGCCACCAACCACCACCAATCCCCCCCACCCCGGCCGCGCCAAGCTCACTGCGGCTACCGGCGCCACGTGAACCACCCGAGCCGAGCCGGGGAAAGAAAGCGCGACCCGCTCACCGGCTCCCGCCCTGCGCTCGCCCCCTCGCGGGCCCGAGGCCGCTGGCCGCTGGGCGTCTCGGCTGTGGCCTCGGGCGGCGCCGGCCCAGGCCGGGCCAGCCCGGCGAGGAAGGGCTCACCGACCACCGCCACCGGGCTTCCGGCGCGTTTCCTCACCCTCCCCGACCTGCAGCCCCACCCGTCGGTCCCCGAACTTCCTCCTCTCGCTGCACTTTCCGAGGCAGTCTTAGGGCCCAAGGTGGGGCGGAGGAAACAGGGTTAGAGGAAAGAGATCTGGAGTTTCCGAAGCTACTTGGCGCTCGGGTGGAGCCGACGGATCCGGAGCCGGGGATGGGGGGGTAGTTCTAAGGTTCGCGGACTTTGGGGAGGTTGGGGGGAGGCAGGCATTGGTTCCTTTAAGATCCACCCTCCCCTTCCCCTGCACACCCCCCCCCCCCCCCAAGCCTTTCCCTCCCAGTCTTAGAGGCCAATTTTGTTAATTAAATGTTTTGTTTGCGACGCAGCTCTCATTCATTGCGGACACGTCATTCGGAGCAGATCTAAGCCAGAGACCAGATCTCATTAGATAAAGCCCATCAGAACTAAGAAAATGGAGGAGCCACTAATTAAAGCTTTTAATTGTGCGGATTCGCTGCAGCAAGGCAGCCGCTTTATCTGAAATCTAGGAGAGAGGAGGCAGAAGCCCAGCTCGGCCCAATCGACACTTGGCCACGGAGGGGGAGGGGACTGGGGGAAAAAAAACGTTCCCCCTATCCTTCCTACCTCACCCCCGCCGGCCTCTCCCAGCTTTGCTGCAGCTTTTTATCCAGATATTGGTTGATCTTGGTTGTTTAAACACACACACACACAACCTTAAGGTCAGACAGTTTAAAAGCCCCTTCATAAATCGCTTTGTGGTCCCAGCCAGGCCTAAGGGTCCTCCTCTTCACCTGGTGGCCAGCAAGCAGATTACTCCACTCTTCAGTAGCTGTCCGTGTGGCATAGAAATCTCCTCCAACAAGTGGACTCAGGGGGAGTTTGGGCAGGGGATAGCTGAGAGGAAAAGGCACTCCAGCACCTCCCCCACCTTCCCACCCTTTTTGGCATCTTGATGTACTGAGGGAGAGGGAACACTAGCTTCTGAGATCTCTAAATTGGCTGCTGGTAAGCAAAGTGTTAGGTGATGATCCACTTAGTACTGAACTGGAACTCATCTCTCCCAGATAAATATAAGAGTCTCAGGGTAACATTTAGTTCAAGAGCAAGCTTAACTCCAGTTCCCAGATTCAGAGCAAAAAGAAAGAGTGAGACTATGGATCCATCAATTAATTAAGGCTCAGGGCTGGGTACCCATCCTCCACTGATCCATTAGGTCACAAGAAAACACCAAATGGGCATTTATATTTGGCCCCAAGAATAGGGAAAGGAATGGATTCAATTCCCAGGAAGCCACTTGCCTAAACTTGTCCTAAGGGAATACAAGTGGACCCATCTTCTTTTTAATTAGTCGTAATCAGAAACAAAGTTTTTTTAAGGCAACCTGGAGAAAGAAATGAAACTACTATTCACCAAATCTTAACTGCACCATCAGGTTTTCCTCTTCAAACCACCCTCCTTCCTTACCACAGTATTGCTCTCTAATTTTAATACTGTCAAAGCTCAAGGGATTGCTTGGAAGACCAGAAAGCATTACACCCATGCTCCTGCTGATTTTTCTAACATTTACTTTTAAAAGAACACTTAGCAGAATTAATGCAGCCATCTTAATTTAAAAATAAAAGCCCTCTCCCTTCCTATATTTCTTTTACTTGACTGATTGAGGATGCCACCAGAGTGGTTGCATTATCAGAATAACCAAACATCATTTTACATTAATGATTATCACTGGGGTAAACACACCCATACTCCGCTCTGAACTGCACTGGGATCTTTCGCAGTATAAGCTGCAGTGAAGTGAATCTCAATAGAGCTAAACTTTGAACAAAATATCTCATCCACTGATTTACCCGCATTGAAGAAACAACAAAATTTTCTATTAATTCCTATAAAGAAAAAGGTTTAAGGGCAGAAATTTAAATAGAATGAAATTCTTAAAATTGTTCAGTTCTCTATAGTACCAACGGTGTGCGTGTGGTTTTTTTTTTTTTTTTTTTTAATTACTGGATGTTGAAACAGAACACCTCCTAGAAGCATTCATGTGCATCAGTCTATCAAACCATTTACTCAAATTAAATGTGTAATCCTTCAAATGCCTCCTTTCAAATTAATGAGTTTAAGTAGCTTGAGTTCACCTGAAAAGATCCTATAGGCACCTGACCTCCTGAATTCTTTCCATTAATTGCACTGAAACTTGTTGGAAAAGACTGCTTACATGGACATATGAATGTTCCTATACATTGCTTTAAAACGCAAGATTAGTATAATTCTATAGCCTCGTTTTCTAAATCTCTTTGGGGATCAAGGGCAGTGCTACAAATGACAACAACAACAACAAAAAACTACAGACCTGAAGGTTCTTCAAGTAAAAAAAAAAAAAAAAATAAGCAATTCTTGCATCGCAAGCCACACACTAACATTTAAGCAAGCCTCCAAGTAACAGTATGAAGAAAAACATTACCACTAGGTTTTGTTTTGGGGGTTTTTGCTATAAAAAGAATTACAAGTCTTTAAACTGATGGGTAATCAGCATTTTTCACAAGGAGCACAAAGAATGAGTCAGAGCATTACACTCAAAAAAAAGTTTAAAGGTGCTTATGCAAATATCATAATTAGCCATCACTACACACACTTTCTCACTAACTACACTTTTATTTTTAAGTTAACCTTTTGTCTCTGAGCTCTGTAGGTCCCTATCTTGCTTTAAAAAAGCAACTTAACTCCCACTTGAAATGCTTATTTTTAGCCTGAAGTCCAGTTAAGACTGAACACTTAGGGTGCTCAATCTTTGCACATACAACAGCCAGTTCCATTGGACGGGAGTTTTTACTTTGTATGGCAATTGTCCCTTTTTTGTTATCAAATACGGAAGATTAGTACATGCTTCTTAAATCCCTTAAATTTCGCTCATCAGAAGGTTTTTGAGGTGAAGGCTGTCATGTCTTTCGATCGGTGCAGGCTCCTTCCCTTCAACTTTGGCCTTGCCACTGCTGTGCTTACCCTCAGGAAAAGCCATCAGACTTACCTAATGTAGTCATTTCTGCAAAGGATCATGCCGCTCTTGGTGTAACAAGACGTGCCGATGTCTCCCAGCTGCGCCTGGCAGCAGGAGCACTTGAGGCACCGGCTGTGCCAATAGCTGTCCATGGCATAGAGCAGAAAGCGGTCCGCAATCTTGCCCCCGCAGCCTGCGCACCGCTTCCAGGAGAGGGAGCCGGCCGTCACCGGGGGCGGCTGCGAGCTGCTGCCCGGATTCACCATGGTCTGCAGAGGGCGGGAAGGGGACAGGGAGAGAAAGACAAAACAGGGGCGACGCAAAAGTTAGTAATCGCCAGAGAGAGAGCAAGCCCATTCCCCTCCCCCCCCCCCCCCCGGAGCTGCTGGAAGGAAGCGGCAAAGCAAGGGCGGGAAGGAGGCTGAGCGAGAGAGGAAAGGAGGGAGGCTCGCCGGCAGCAGCTGCCTGTTTACTTTTCTCAAGCTTTGTTCTGGGGCCACGAGCTCCTCTCAACTTTCCTGCGCTCGCCGCCGCTGACAATTTCAGCTCCGGTACTGTCAAAACTCCGAGAGCGAGCTCGGCGGCGCGCTCCACCCCTCGCAGCGCCTCCCCCAAGCCCCCGCCTCCGCCCACTGCCCCCTCCTCCCCGCCGCCGTCGCCGCCGCCCGCCTCCAGCAAATGAGGGTCAAACCCACCCACCGCCGCGCCCGGCCCCTCCTCAGCCCCCGCCGAGCCCCGCGAGCCAGCCGAGGGGCGTGGGGAGGCGGCGGCCCCGCCAGAGCCACGTTCCCTCCCGAGCTCTGCCCTGGGAAGTGCAGCTGCAGTTCACAAGTTGGAAATAGTTGGGTTTTCTGAAAGAGGAGGGAGGGACCGGCAGAGGGGAGATGGAGAGCGTGGTGGTGGGAGGGGAGGCAAGGTGGCGGGAGGGGGTGCGGTGTGTAAAGTTGCGAAACTGGTTTTTCGTATTTTTAAACAGCACCTTTCACATGCCATTGTGGTGACCGCCATCTCCCATTATTGTTCCAAATCTCATTTCATTTTCAAGATCAATGAGTGTTTTCTCTGGGTTTTCAGGACACAGGCAAGAATAATAGATCATTGAACTTTAGGATGCCTGTTAACTTCCTACACAAACACTCTCCACTTTGGTCTCACTAATCTGCCCTTGATCAGCAATTTAAATGCTAAAGCTTTGTTACTCCAAAGGAGGGGGGGTAGGTAATATTCTAGAAGGCACTATTAAGTGATGAACAAGTTATATTCAGAGCCAAGTCCTGCTGTCACCAAAAACTGCTTTTAAACATTCCCCACTCTTTCTAATGAATGCCATAAGAGAAGCAACTGGGGTATAATATAGGAATCAATTTATAAAGCTTAGCCTAAACCGATTAATTTGTTGCCTCCAATCCTGAGTCCAATAAAGTCCTAGTGTTCCTTTAGTCACTTATTCTATAAAAAGATCAAGTTATTTACTGCCAATTAAGCAGCCTGTTTTGTCTTTGTCCTCTGTAAGCCAAGAGTGTGGGCTCCCCCCAAGGCTCCCAGCTATCTGCTCAAGACATTCAGCTGATACCTCAGAAGGGAGAGGGCGAACTTTGCCTGTCCCTGGCCCAACTTGGCTGCTGCAAAAGAACGAGAGAGAGGGAACCAAACAAGGACTCGAGTTCCTTAAATAGGCTGATTTTAAACACATTTCCTCCGAAAGAGTCCCGGAACGTGTGTCCAGTGACCGCACAATAAACCAGAATAAGAACTGCACCAATTAAGCTGTAACAAAACCCTGAGACTTTGGAAACAGGACCACTCTAAAACCCATTAGCATTGCATTTATCCGAATGCATCATACCTTTATGTAAATTGATTTATCTGATGCATTTACTCGAGGAATTGCTTTTTGTTACAATTTCAGTCCTAACCCAAATGAATCTGCATTTCCTGCCCTAGGTCTTTAAACTGTTTCTCCCCAACGTTTTAATCGTCCGAATTCCTTTTTAAAAGGGGAGAGGGAGGGAGGAGATTCCAAGCTGTTCCCCGCCCCCATCTTTGGTGAGAGGTAAATATATATGTATATTTTTTTGAAAAGGAAACATTACACTGAGAAAAGCATCCAGTAACCCCATTAGCTAAAGCTCTTAAGGACAAGCAATACCTTAATGCTGATTAAATCTAAAAGAGATGAATCAAGAGGACTGACCAGAAACTGACTCCCCTGATAACTAAGGACGGGCCCTCATCAAGTTTCATTTAGAGTTGGAAAAAAAAAAGAAAGAAAGAAAGCTTTTAAGTTAAATAGGCTTATACTCTAGTAATTACATAGCCAAGCAATTTAGGTCCTGGGATAGTCAGTGAAATAGAAAGCAGAAGTGGCAGCTAGAGGCAAAATCTGCCCCCCTTTAACAACGTCTCTGGTGTTTTTTAATGGAGACCAAGGGAGGGACAAATGTAGCGCTGGCAATTTGTAGTACAAAAATGGATGCTTAATTCATGTCTTGATTTTAATTAGGTGATTCACCGGATTTCTCCTGGATTGGAACAAAAGACTTATAAGCCAAGAGGAATTTTTTTTAAAGAACCAACAATACCGAATTCTGGTCACTTAGATCCTTTCTGCCACTGTTTCAAAAAAATAGTGTTTACTGGAGGGGGGAGGGTCGTGACTGTCCCCCTTCTGGCACACACTACTTCTTACACTTAAATCCTCATCCAAGCAGTCCCTGCCTTTCCCTTTGCAACTGGAAACGTCCCCACCCCCCTTCAGGGTCTCCACCAGCCCGGTCTCCAAGAACCCTTTTGTAAGCAGGAACCGCTACAAAGCTGGCGGCCCGGGGCTGCCCTCCGCGCTAGCTCGCAGGCCGGCCTCGGTAGTTTCAGACTCGCGCATTATCTAAGGCGACGTATTGTTTACTTGCAATTTGGGACGGTCAAGGGAAGGAAGCCAAAGAAAACAGCCCCGGCCCCAAACGGCCCCCTCCCCCGCGCCACCCTCCCAGCCCGCGGCTCCCCAGCCGCCCCCTTACCTGCTTTTCCCCTATATTGCAATATTGCGAGAGGCGGCGGCGGCGAAATTCGAGCGAAGCCGCTCGGCTTCCAAGGAAGGGGCGCCTTGGCTGGCGGAGCTGGAGGGAGGGAGCGAGTTCTCGCAGAAGCAGGAAAGGGGAGGAGGGGGCTAAGGGCTGCTTTTTTTTTTTTAATCGCGTTGCTCTGGGGCGGGTTGGGGGGCGCCGCGTAAGTGGCCGGCGGCCGGCAGCAGAAGTGTCAGTCCCAGTCCTCGTCCTCTCCTCCGCCTCCGGCTGCGCGCGAGCAGCTGCAGGAGCCCTCGGCCCGCGCGGCGCGGCTTCAGGCGCGGCGCAGCGGCAGCAACTGCTGCAATCGCTGCTGCAAGTTTGGCAATGTGGCTTCACTTTGTATATGCCCCCGCCCGGCGGCCCCCGCCCCCGCCCGCGCGCCTCCCGCTCCTCCTCCTCCGCCGCCTTCCTCCCTCCCGCGCGCCCGCTCGCTCGTTCGCTCGGGGCCGGCGGCGGCGGCGGCTCGGCCAAGCACTGCCGGCCGTGGAGCAGCCGCAAAAACAAGATCCGAGAGCGGCCGCGGCCGGTGAGGAGGCCGGCAGGCGGGCGCGCCTGGAGTCGGGGGCTGCGGGCGGCCGCGGCCCGGCGCGCTGGAGACTGCGCCGCTGCCGGGGCTGCAGCTGCCCGGCTCGGAGGCGGCGGCGGCGGCGGCGGCAGCGCTGGCCTCTAGCCGGCTCGCTCGCTCCCTCCGCGGCTCTTACACATGTGTTACTGACAGAACAAAATCCCAACTACTCCCCGGCTCTGCCGCCGACGTCAGCGACCCTCAGCCACTGGGCGGCCGGATTGTTCAGGCGGAATAATAAAACCTGCCAATCCGGGGAAGGACAAAGGGATGACTGAAACGAGACTCAGGGGGCGGGGGAGAGAGTGAGGCAGCGGAGCCGGCCGAGGAAGGCGCAGGACTGGCCGGAATCAGGTGGGGAGAAGTGGCCCTGGCGCCGGTCGCCGGGTACCCGGCTTGAGCTGCCTCCACAGCCCGGAATCGCGAGTCGGGTCTCGGGGTTGCACCTGCCTCTCGGCGCGCGAGGACCCTTAAGATCCGCACCCGCTCACCCCTCGGGGATTGCCCTCCTCTCAAATCCAGAGGAGATCCTGAGAAACTTTGTCTCAGAAATGGGTCTCTTCCTGCTTGGGAAGAAAAGCCTTTCTGCATCAAAGCGTTGCTCTAAACTCACACAAGCACGCAAAAGAGGGTTTTTTGTTTGTTTGTTTGTTTGTTTGTTTTAATTCACGATGTTGGATATTTATGAATCTTAGTGGAAGTTTAGTTAACAAGGGAAAGACGTTCCTGCCTAAATACTGACTGCTAAATCTCCCACTTCCCATTAACCCGAATGTAAACTAAGAGCTTAGTAAGCATTTCATAGATACTTGTCAATTGCTGATGATGTACATACCACAATCCTTATTTTCAAAGTTGAAAAAAAAAAAAAAAACCTTAAGGGAGAACGCATTGCCCTACCCTATTTTCCTCCTCACTGTGGGGGATGAAATGTTGAGTTACTCTTAGCCTGGAAAGCAATGGAAGTTATTTGCACTCTCACAGCCTCTGAAGAGTAGAAATGACCTTTCTAGTATAAATCAAGACTTGAGGAATGCTTTTAGGGTGCTAACCAGAGAGTCTCTTTCCTAGGCCCAAGCTCAGCCTAGAAGCTCGAATACCTACCTAGACATTCAACGAGGCATGCCAAATAGGTTTAAGAAATCTCTGATTTGAGGCTAATATTAGGTCTGATTATTATTAGTAAGTTCCAGAGAGGTTTTTCTGTTGGAAATTATCATGAAAGTGCAAAGCCTTTCTGCTAAGTATCATTAAGTAAAACCAGCCTTGTGGGACAAGTTTTCTTATATTGTGTTACACACAGTACTGCTAGATTGAGGAAAGGAACCTGAAGGAGAATCTGGCAAGACAATGCACATGTTGAACATCCATGGTTTTAGTGTCTGTTGGGGAATTTCTATCCTTTAAACCATCAAAATTAGGACTGAAAAAGAAAAAATAATTATTGCCTATAAAACTAAGCAGAGGACATTTTAAAGACCAATTAAAATACTCATTTCTTTATTCTAGCATCTTAAATTCCTTATATGTTAAAATTAAATGAATTAATTTTACTGATTTGTATTTAAAATTGCATTGTTATGATTACTTCACCTTGGGCACATATAAAAAACATTTTTAAAGAAATCATTAAATCTGCATTAATACTTTAAATGTCCTGAATAAAAAAAACAACTGTAGAAAGGCATGATTAAAGAAGGCCAACTTAGAAAAGATGTAATACACCTTGAAGGTTAGTCAAGAAAACCCAAACCAAATTAGGAAGACCTCCCCCACAAAAGGAAACATTTCAATTCCTGGGGTTCATTTTTAATTTGTTAATAATTTAAAATAATCAAAATGAGATGACACAGGATCTTAGTGGACTATAATTATGTTAGAATTTGTCATATATAACTAGATTTCCTTCTCTTGGGCTTTAATTTCTCATCAAAAATGAGAAAATTAAGCCAATGCCCATTATTCTTCATTTTTTAAAGTGATTTTTTTAAAAATAGAACATATAACACAGTTCTATAATGAATTGTGGTATTGTCTAAAGAGTGTACACAATAATGAATTTTTAAATTCTAAAACGAAATGTTAGAAACTTAGCCAGGCACATTTCAGATATCACTGAGTGATTCATCAAAGAATCCAGGTAGTTTGTATGGAAGGAGGGAGAGAAGGATGTATAAAACTTTGAATACAGATTTCTAGGCTATCAGAGGCCTAAGATTTAGGAGGTGGTTTTTGTGTTTTGGCTCTAATTGTGTGTGAAGTTAGGTCTTTACACTTGTCCCTGTAAATTGGAGTGGGTTGGAGTGTATTACCATAGAGCTTTATTTGCTGATGTTGTGGTTATAGAAATACAAAAGTGATAATGGTTAACATCTCTCCTCTGAAGGGTAGGGAGTAAATCCATTCACTGTAATCAAAATTCAGGTGTACTTTAACCACAGCGCCACCTCTGGGTAGCCTTTATTTCTGCATTCTTTGCATTAGCATTCCTTTCTCATCTGGGTAGCAAGATTTGTGGTCTGAGAGTGCCTGCCTGAATGAGGTACCTACCAATGTCAGTCTTTTATTTCCACTGATCCAAAACACACCAAAACTGTGTAAACACATACAAGTTCATCATGGGTAAAAGAGTTCTGTATAAGGGCATTCTTTAAACAAACATAAAAACGGTTCTTCAAGTAATAATCCCTATGTAAAGTGAAATTGCCTAACTCAAAATAATACAATATTGTGCCCAGCAGTTGAAGAAACCTCTGATGACGTCCCACATTAATCATTCAGCCTACTCACTTAAAATGATAAAAAATAAATAAATATGGTGCTTGGAAAATAAAGCAACTCAAATTATTTCTGTCTTGAATTTTGATTAAATGTAAGAGCCATATTGGTCCTAGATTAAGCCCTTATTCCTTCTGAAATGATTTATCCATATCTTCCTCTCTTCTCACTCTAGTCCTTCAATATGATCATTGTGTTCTCCAAGTGACAGTTCTCTAAGAATCTGCATGGATAGCCAGAGTTTGCACACAGACCCATGCTATTTTCCATGCTGAGATGGCCACGTCCAAGACAAATGCCCCAGCACTGTCTCAGGAAAAAATATTTCACCCTTTTAAAGCCAATGCAAAACTGTTTGGGAAGGAAGTCTTTTTAGGCAGGACTTTTAAAAATTCCCCCACCTGTATTATTGTTGTCACCGAGATCCCCTCGAAGTAAAAAAGCTCCTGCAAGGTGAATCCAAAATGCTTGAGGCTGGGATGACAAATTCCAATGTGGAGAGAAGAAGGAATGATAGCAACAGAGAAAGCCCAAGGAAGAGGAATGGCAGCTGGGACCTGTACCACTGCTTTGTGTTACTGTTGTGGGATGGAGGTGGGGAGTACTGCACAGTAAGGGGTTTATGTCCAACGCATCAAGAGTACATCTCTGAAAGACTACATTTCAAGGAACCATATCTTGACTTTAAAATATTGATAATAATACTTTGGATTTACTGTCTTTTTGAGATTTCTCAAAATCCCTTATAGGTATCTTACTAAATGTTTTATGTGATAAAGGGTAGATAGTTGCCTTATTAGAAGATTCTTTTTTTTTTTAAGAATCCCAATGATTACATTTGGTAAATAACTCATCAAATTATGTTAATCAGTATTTAGGAAATTCTATCCTAACTACTGTTTTATAGGGCAATATAAAAGCATAGTGAGGCATGGCACAGTGGTGCACACTTGTAATCCCAGGTCAGGAGGCTGAGGCAGGAGGATTTTGAGTTCAAAGCAAGCCTCAGCAACTTAGCAAGGCCCTAACCAACTCAGCAAGACCCTGTCTCCAAATAAAATATAAAAAAGGGCTGGAGATTTGAGTCAGTGGTTAAGCATCCATGGGTTCAATCCCCAGTACAAAACAAACAAACAAACAAAAATACACACACATACACACACACACACGGAGTTGATTTTATTGAAATCAAATAATGATAGAGGGGTGAAAAACAGCATGGATATTGTTGTAGTTGGAAATAAAAATGTAAGGTGTACATTTTACTTTAAATTATTCTATTTCATGAGGACATTTAAAGCTCCTGGAGATGTCAGGAAAGGTGAAAAGGTGATGGGAAAGAAGGGAACACATCTGTGCCCCAGCATTTTGTCCAATGCAGCAAGATCTCTGTGTTACAGTGACAAGAAATGACTTGTTTTCTTCATATAAGAGTAGGAACATCACCTTAAAAATCCCCCAAATTTGCCTCAGAACTCAGTAAATCTTGATATATATTTCATAGCAATGATTTTATAAGGAAAATTATTTCGCTTACTCATACTACCCATTTCTAGGACTGAATTTTGTCAACAAAATTCAAGCATAAGTGATATTCTGCAAATATCATTGCTGATAACTCATCAGACCACATGTGTGAGTATATTATATTTTCATTAAGGTCTTCTCAGTGGCCTAATAGGTCCACAAGCAATGCTTATTAAAATTGAGTCAAATCTTTGCATGAATAAAGTTAGTTTTATAATAGTTACAAAAGAGGATATATAGATGACTGGGTCATCTGTATATATGTGAAGTGGTTATTACTAAGGATATATATTAAAATTATAAACCCAGTAGAAAATAGTGATTCCATATAAAATTACCATTCCTCTTTAAAATGATGCAAATGAGCATTTATTGATAGAGAAACTAAGGCAATAAAACATAGTTCATTCTCCCTTATGTTGTCTGTAACTATTCTTGGTTTAAAATTTTTTAAAGGCTAGTAATTCAGAAATTTTAATTGCCCCAACCACAACTTCTTTAGTTAGTGTTATTTTTAATTATAGAATTGATATAATTAAGCATTTTCTCTGTATATACTTATAATAAAATGTAGTATTTGAAAGTATTTGCTCACCAAAGGAGATGATGAACATTATTATAATATTTATTCATCCAATTGTAATGAATGACCCTATTGGAATTAAGGGAGTACAATCCATAGCTGTCCATAGATTTGAAAAACACACATTTCTACTCTGTATAGCATCATAAATTTTTCTGAATAAAAAGAACAACCAGATATGGATTTTTTAAAATAATAAAATTGGATAATTCAATTGACTAAAATGTGTTCCCTCCACACAGAGGTACACATTATAACGTCATCAT